CTGAAGATCCTGGAGAGAGTTTCCTTAGAAAGAGAGAGATAATCAGCATATTGCTGAAAAGAAGGGATGGACTTGGGAAAGACATCAGGATTAGAAACATAATTAAAATCCTTTTATACACAAGTGCTGGATGAAGTCATTGGGACCCCTAAATCAAGAGAGAAGAGAATGGGTGAAGAATGATGTGATAATGGGGTAAGGGAGCCCTGGTGGTACAATTGTTAAGCACTCAGCTGCTAACGGAAAGGTCGGCGGTTCGAACCCAATCAGCAGCTCCTCGGGAGGCAGACCTGGCGATCTGCTCCTGTAAAGATTACAACCTAGGAAACCCGATGGAGCAGTTCTACTCTGTCACATGGGGGCGCTATGAGTCAGAATAGACTTGATGGCACACAATAGCAACAACGAAGGGGTAAGTAAAATTGGAGGAGGGAAGAAGACATTAAGGTTTAAATAAAATCAACCATAGTAGTTATGACGGGACACCGCATTAGAAAAACACTTAGAGAACAAAGAAATTTGTAGAATTTACTCTTGGGGCTCCCATTGCCCCATCTGTCTGTTTGTTGTACTGTGGGGGCTTGCGTGTTGCTGTGATGCTGGAAGCTAAGCCACCAGTATTTCAAATACTGGCAGGGTCACCCATGGTGGACGGGTTTCAGCGGAGCTTCCAGAATAGGACAGACTAGGAAGAAAGGCCTGGCAATCTACTTCTGAAAATCAGGCAATGAAAACCCTATGGATCTCAAGAGAACACTGTGGGATGTAGTGCTGGAAGATGAGCCCCCTAGGTTGGAAGGCACTCAAAATACACAGTGGCTGCAACCATGGACTCGAGCAGACCAGCGACTGTGAAGATGGTGCAGGAGTGGGCAGCTTTTTGTTCTGTTGTGCTTGGGGTCACTGTGAGTCAGAGCCAACTCAATAGCAACCAACAACACTACTCATGGTGTTCAGAGATCCCATGTTCAGAAAAGCTTAGACAGCACCATAGGTGTTTGCATTATGGATGGGCCTCGTTCTTCCATGTGCACAGAACTGAGCCGCCATGAAAATTCATACAAAGAGCATCCTTGCTTTTCTTCCACGCCCCAGTGGGCTTGTGTGGGCATAGGGGAGGGAGGACAAGGAGAGGAAGTAGCAGGATTGTTTCCTACTCTCACATCAATCTACTGCCACCACTACCAGTTGCCGTCTGTCGACCACGACCCATGGCGCCCCCATGGGTGTCACAGTAGAACTGTGCTCCACAGAGTTTTCTGGAGACACTTTTGGTTGGTACACTGGGGAGGGGGCGCTACTGGCATCTAGTGGGCGGAGGCCAGGGATGCTGCTCAACACCCTGCAGTGCACAGGACGGGCCCCACCACAGGGAATGACTAGTGGGTGGAGACCAGGGATGCTGCTAGACACCCTACAGTGCACAGGATGGCCCCACCACAGAGAATGACTAGTGGGTGGAGACCAGGGATGCTGCT